ATCTATCATCTATCATCTATCTATCTATCATCTATCATCTATCTATCTACCTATCATCTATATCATCTATCTATCTATCATCTATATCATCTATCTATCTATCATCTATCATCTATCTATCTATCTATCATCTCTATCATCTATCTATCATCTATCTATCTATCATCTATCTATCATCTATCATCTATCTGTCATCTATCTATCTATCATCTATCATCTATCTATCTATCATCTATATCATCTATCTATCTATCTGTATCATCTATCTATCATCTATCTATCATCTATCTATCTGTCTATCATCTATCTATCTATCATCTATCTATCTATCATCTATCTATCTATCTATCTATCTATCTATCTATCTATCTATCATCTATCTATCATCGATCTCTCTATCATCTGTCATCATCTATCTATCTCTATCCTATTGGTTCAGTTTTTCTGGAGAACCCTAATACACTTGGGATCATTTTCATTTAAAATTTCATTGGCTTTCAGGAATACAACCAGGTATATAGCACCTAGCGAATGTCAGTGATACTCCCAAGTTTGAAAACAGTGACTCTGAACACCCCTGATGTGACAAATGACTAAAGCCATATAATTTGCTCAGTTCATCCCTGAGAAAGCTGTAACAATTTAAAGAGGATTAAACAGCATGGGTCATAGAGGATTCAAATAAAGGAATTGGGGCTCAAAGCAGTGATTGCTGCTCATCCTTCTCTTCATCAAAAAGTCTGAGGTTTTTATTTCCCAAACAAGTCAGCTTTATGAAATGATTAACTTTACTTTAAATTAATCAGACTCCTGTTGCTAATTAAAGCTTCAGATGAATATGAGACAGTGGATGTTACCATGTTGATTCGATGCAATTCTGCACAAAAACAATGCAACTTGGAATTTTAGTTAGAGTGCATTTTGTACATTTCCCTTAAGCTTTTATAAATATTGAAAATTATTTAGGAACTCCCATTTCTTCCTTTGGGAAACTTCAGCTATCTGAACTGTGGGCTAGTTACCTCTAGTCCAAAGAGTTTGTAAGGCCTGTGGTCTACCTGGGATGTATTAGTTTGCTGGGGTTGCCATAACAGAATACCACAAACTGGATGACTTAAACAAGAGAAATTTATTTTCTCATAGATCTAAAGGATAGAAATCCAAGATCAAGGTGTTTGGTTTCCCCTGAGGCCTGTCTTCTTGGCTTACAAAGCCATCTTTTCCCTGTGTTCTCAAGTGACCTTTCTTCGGCATGCACATCTCTGGGTCTCTCTTCTTATGAGCACAGCAGTCCTATTGGATTAGGGCCTCATTTCACCTTTATCACCTTTTTCAAGATCCTACCTATCTACAAATATGATGACATTCTGAAGTACAGGAGGTTAGGACTTCAACATATGAATTTGGAGGGGAACACAAGCCTGCCTATACCACGAGGTGTGCCTTTGAGAAGTGGGAGAGCTAAGTGAATGTTCTTAGCCTAGAGCAGGTAAGAAAAACACAGGATGCCCCCAATGGCTTTACTACCGCAGCTCTGTAGCTTTCAGTAAATAAAAATCTCAATTTCACTTAATTCAATTTAAATTTATTTCTTAATTTCAAGCCTTAGATTCCTCAACTGTGAAATGCAATGAGTACGAATATCAACAATAAAGCCCAAACTCTAAAGGCTCGGGATTCTTGATGCCCTGGGATGAAGACCCACTGCCTGTCACTATCTCTGCAGCAGTTTACTTCTCAAATAATGAGGAGAAGGAACCACAGTAGAGCAGAGGGTTTAGACTCGTGGATGTTGGAGCCAGAGTACTAGGATTCGCACTTGGCACTGCCACTTTCTGGCTTCTGCCACTGTTGAGGCAAGACCACCAGTGAATACCATCTGAGTACCAGTTCCACTCCCTGGCTAGTACAGATAAAATCAGTTGATGCTCATAGAGGGTCCACGATGGTTCCTAGCTGGGCACACAGTGAGCATTCAGCATTTCTTTTACTATTTGAAAATGTCACCTGAGAGCTTTCCCATCTTCTTCACCTTACCACATCCCACCCCCAGATATACCCCACTGGCAGGATGAATAAAGGCCTCGTAAAAATGTTCATGTGCCATTCCCCATAACCTGTGAATGTTACCTTATTTGGCAAAAAATCACTTGTAACTCTAACTAAATGTAAGATGTTGAGATGGGGGAGATTATCCTGTATTATTCAGATGGCTCCATTGTGATCACAAGAGTACTCACGAGAAGGAGGCTAAGAAAGAGTTGACTACAGAGGAGATGATGTGATCAAACCAGAGAGAAAACAGAAGATGCTAAGATCCTGGCTTTGAAGATGGAGGGAGGAGCCAGAAGCCAAGAAATGGAAGGAACAAAGCTCTAGACACTGGAAAAAGCGGGGAAATGGATTCTTCTCTCAGAGCCTCTGCAGGAACCAGTCCTGCTGACTCCTTGACTTTAACCTAGTGAAACTGACTTTGGACTTCTGACCTCCAGAACTGTAAGTGAATAAGTATATGTTATGTTAACCCACTAAATCCGTGTATTTTGTTACAGCAGCCATAGGGAACTAATACATTAGCTTTTTCAGAGAAGGGAGCCAGTTATCAGCAGACTAATAAGCAGGGTAAAATGCATCTATCCCAGGTGATGGCAGGTGGCCCAAAGTTGATGTATGGTCAACATTAAATTTACTTTAACATTGATAATGTAAGTATAATAATTTAGACAAAAGAGGTACAGCTTCTACGAAGCAGGAAATACTGACTTTAATAGATAATAAAAAACAAACGGCCAACAGACACATGAAAAAATGCTCAACATGACTAGTTATCAGGGAATTGTGAAGCAAAACCACGAGATAGCACCTTTCACCTGTCAGATTGACTAGTATCAAAAAGACAAAAAATAACAAATGTTGGTGAG